AATGAATAACTGAAAGGTTATTCCTTTTATAAACCTAAAAATGTCAAAATCTAAAAAGCAGATTGATAACTTCCAAGAACCAGGTGGAAACATTAAGCACAAAAAAAAAAAAAGGAAATTGATTTTTTGGGTTTTTTGTTTGTTTTATTTTGCTTTTCTAGACAGGGTTTCTCTGTGTAGCCCTCGCTGTCTTGGAGCTCACTCTATAGACCAAGAGTGACTGACTGACTGAAACCGCAATACTTGTGCTGGTGATCTGTGGAAAAACTAAGCTGTGGATAAATGGTAAATCCATATGGCACATTACATATAAGAGACAAAGTCAACTTGGCTTCAACAAAGTTCACAGAAACATTCTTTAAAAATCTGAAGTTTTTTTTTCAAAGTATTCTCCCAGAGAACTAGAGTAACCAATGGAATTTACCAATCAACTGTAGTAGTTTTCCTTAAATATACACCCTGTATTAAAAGAGACATGGAAAAACAGGAAAGTCTATAAAAATATGTTGCCAGTAATGAAAAAAAAAAACTGTTTCAGAGGTGTCTAAGGCATTGAGGTAACAGGGAAGTGTTTCTTCAGGACTAAACCTAGCTAGACAATCCATCCCAGGTGTTCAAGCCCCTTCCATACAGGTAGAGCCTACCCCCAACCAAATAAAACTGTTAGTTTATACAGCCTCATTTCTTCTGTCTTTCAGGGTTTTACAGATATTAGCCTGAAGATCTTATGAAACACTACAGTTTTCTAATTAAATTAATAAATGTCCTTTATAATTCTTGGTATTTTCTCTAAAGCTAGCAAAAATCACCTCTAGTTGCTGTCATTTAGACTACTACTGACATGACTCTGTTTATGTGTCCATTTTACAATCAATTAATATATACTGGTCATCAGTTGGGCACCTAAATTAGGTTAATTACAAAAATAACAAAGCAATAAAAATATTTATCAATCTCTGTCTTCTAAGAGACTTGTGATGGGGGAGGAGATCCACATCCAGGAAAATGAGTCTGCTCATGTTTCTGAATTAATCAAAAACAGCCTGGGTTATGTATTCAGTGAAAAGGCCTACTGAGGTATTTGTCTCTAAGACTAGAGTGACATTACAATTATTCTTTTTACACATAATCATCCATTTTTCTATATATAAAATACTTTTTTTCTGTTTTTGTTTTGGAAGGGGTCACTATGTCATCCTGGCTATCCTGGAACTCTGTGGGTCTAGAGAGGCAGCCCAGTGATAAGAGTACTCCAAGATCGGGGTTTAGTTCCCAGTACCCACATGGCAGCTCACAATCATTTGTAGTTCCAGTTGCAAGGGATCCAGTTCCCTCTTCAGACCTAAGCAGGCACCAGGCATACAGCAACACACTTTTAAAAAAAAATTTTGGCGGATGCCAGCAGCACATGCCTTTAACCCCAGCACTCAGGAGGCAGAGGCAGGCGGATCTCTGAGTTCGAGGCCAGCCTGGACTAAAGAGTGAGTTCCATGACAGGCTCCAAAGCTACACAGAGAAACCCTGCCTCCAAAAACCAATTTTATATATATCACATATATATTTTTAAAAAAGACAATGAAAAAATTGTTTAAATGAATCTTTATGACAAACACTAAGTCCTCACAACCACATGAGAACTAAAAGGCTGACCTCACAGATGCAGAAGAATGGTGGTTAGAGGCCAGGAAGCAGGAAAGGAGAGGATAATTAGCATGGCTAAAAGGAGCAGCTTCTAGTACCTAACACACAAGTGCACTGTAACTGCCTATATCTAACTGCATTTCAAAATACTAATGAAGACAACTACAAACATTCCCAACACCAAATGCTGACGGAAGTGACAGATATGCTGACAGACCATATGATGACAAATCTGATTTGATTATTACACTTTGTATACACCTACAAAAAGGTATAAACCATACCCCAAAAATATGGACAACTGTTACAAGTCAAAAATGTTTTAGGTATTTTTAAAAATAAGAAATGGATTCCAGGGCTGGAGAGATGGCTCAGTGGTTAAGAGCATTGCCTGCTCTTCCAAAGGTCCTGAGTTCGATTCCCAGCAACCACATGGCGGCTCACAACCATCTGTAAAGACGTCTGGCGCCCTCTTCTGGCCTTCAGGCATACAGACAGAATATTGTATACATAATAAATATAAAAAAAAAAAGAAATGGATTCCAGTTTCATCCACTACTTGTTATTTTCAACCAGACATGGTGGTAGCATATCTATAATCCTAACACTCTGAAAGTGGGAAGAAAAGAAAACAATGAGTTCAAATTGGCCTGTTCTATATACAGTGAGTCCACGGCCTGCATGATCTACTTTAGTAAAGCCTATGTCAAGACCACGGCCTAGGAATACAGGTCATTGACAAAGCCCTCGTCTAATATGCACAGGTTCTGGATCAATCCTCAGATCTACAAAATAGTAACATTTTATACAGTATTCTTTTAATTTATCCATCCTGACTACAAAAATACGGGGCATTACTTTTGACTCTAGGTCATACCAATGAATACAACATAGAGAATTCTAAGTTCAAAGAGATGAATTCAAGTAGAAAGAAAATAAAATACACGAAACGATAGTTGAATGCAGGAGAACATCACAGTAACGTTGAGCATAGTCACAATTCTCACTTCTTAACTCAAAACCTTCAAATGTCTTTTTCAATGGTCGATACCCAGATTTCAAGGCCTTAGGGATTTAGGATGGAAGCCAACTAATCTACATTTGCACACACAGACCAGCAGGTGATGATACAATCACTTACTCACTGGCCCCATCCTATCCTCCAGCTTATTTCTCACTACTTCTTACCCCCACATGCTCCATGCTCCGTACAAACGGCTAACTGCCTGCCTTACTCAGTTTTTACTGCCTTTTAGAATGCCCTTCAGCCAAAGCACTGCTTGTTTGGACCTATGCAGACTTCAAATGTGAACTCAAAGTCTTGTTGCAGTTGCGGCCTAGTAACATACACCCTCTCAGTCTTTCCTGACACATACTTTCCTAATTTATATCCGACCTTCAGAGAAATTCTGGTTATCTGAGATATCTCCATCTCTCCAGAGTGTCTCAAGCACTGAAACTGATACTACATATCCACCAAATGGATACCCCATCACTAAGACACCCCTCCTCGTGTTAGTCCCTTAAACAGCTACCTCACTCTTCACAGCTTTTTCCTTTGCCAATATTACTCTTTTTATAGATGTATTGGTATTTTATATGTCTGAGTGTTTGGCCTACCCATATGTATGTGTACCACACACACGCATGGTGCCCAGAGAAATCAGAAGAGGATGTCAGATCCCCTGAAACTAGAACCACCACAAGTGCTATGAACTAAACCTGGGTCCTCTACAAGAGCAGTAAGTGCTCTTAACTGCTGAGACACCTCTCCAGTCCCTGCCATTGTTACCTTTACCTACATAGTAGATGATGGGACCATCTAAAACCATCCTATGGTGGTTATTCTTAGCTGTCAACCTGACTGAATCTGGAACAGCTAAGACATAATTCTCAGGGAAGACTCGTCAAGTGGAAAGAACAAGGCAATGCATTCCCAAAACAGGCCTGTAAGAAAGAAGTCTCAAGGCAAGGGTTTGTCTGCCTGCCTTTGTCTAATGCTGGTGTATGCGTGCACCCTGCTGCTATCACCTTCCCTGAGGTCAGAAGCAAGTTTACGTTTCTTCTGTCTTCTGATGGGAAATGATGATGAGAGTACCAGGGATCTCCCAGGCCTTCAGCACCAGACTGGGACAGAGCAACAGCTACCAGGTTCTCAGCCTCTCCAGCATTCAGATAGCCACTGCTGGACTGCTGGACTCGGAGCATGAAGACGCCCTAACAAATCCCTTTGATAATATGCATTCATTCCTTCAGTTCTATTCCTCTAGAGAACCTGAACTAACGCACATTCCACGGCAGTGGGGGTTTATGAGATGTGGTGGTTTGATAGAAAATGGCCCCGCAAAGGGAGTGGCCTAAGAGGTCCGGCCTTGTTGGGAGAAAGTACATCACTGTGGGGCAGGCTTTCAGGTCTTTTACTCAACCTCCCTCAGTGTCAGTCCATTTTGTGTTGCCTCCAAGATGTAGGACTCTCAGATATTCCTCCAGGCCACATCTGCCTGCTTGTCCCCATGCTCCCCATCAAGATGACAGTGGACTGTAAGCAAGCCCTCAATTAAATGTCTCCTTTGTAAGAGCTGTCAGTCATGGTGTCTCTTCACAACAATAGAAACCCTAAGACATGGGGACTGGAATACAACATGCTAACAAACTGCTAAGCTGTATATCTTTAGCCTACATTCTACAACATGGATTTTCAGTGAGCCTTTTAAGCAGGGGAGGAAAAAGAAACAAAGGTAGTTAAGACAGAAGAACTTTCTGCTCTCATTTCCCTAAAGAAGAAATCAAGCTTTGTCTTGTCCAAATCATACACACACCCTGACAAATCATTCCAAAAATCACCCGAGTAATTGCAGATCTTGTATGCTATATTCACGTCATAATGACAAATATAAAAGACAGAACTTTCTCCTCAGCAAGACAACTTCTAGGAAGAGCTCCAATTATCTTTATTTTTTTAGACAAGATTTCTCTGTGTAGCCCTGACTGTCCCAGAACTTATTCTGTAGACCAGGGTGACCTCGAACTCACAGAGATCCGCCTGCCCCTGCCTGCCAAGTGCTGGGATTAAAGGTGTGCGCCACCAAGGCCCAGCCCAATTATCTTTCAACTAAGCACTGCACAAAGGGTACAGTCACTTCAACTTTCATACAATGCACTACTGTCTTCCATCAATTAATTTTAATACATATTTGAATATGCACAAGCAGAAATACGACTAATACATACCTGTGGATTTTCCAAACGTTTTAAATATTCTTCAAATGACCCTTCTATAAACTGCAAGAAAAGAAATTCTATTAGGGACCTGTAGAGGTGGTTCAGCGGGTTAAAACACTTCTTGCTTTTGCAAAAGACCTGGGTTCAATCCCCAGCACTCACATGCAGCAGCACACAACCAACCACCTGTATCTCCAGCTCCCTCTTCTGGCTAAGGTACCTGAACACATGTTATACACATACATATAAGCACATATATATTAATGTTGTTTGTTTTGTTTTTCGAGACAGGTTTTTTTCTGTGTAGTTTTGGAGCCTGTCCTGGAACTATCTCTGTAGACCAGGCTGGCATCGAACTCACAGAGATCCGCCTGCCTCCACCTCCCGAGTGCTGGGATTAAAGGCATGTGCTACCACTGCCCTTTTTTGAGGGAGGGACCATTTTTTCTTTTCTGAGACAGGGTTTCTCTGTGTAGCCTTGGCTGTGTTGAAACTCACTCTGTAGACCAGGCTGGTTTCAAACTCACAGAGATCCACCTGCCTCTGTCTCCCAAGTGCTGGGAGTAAAGGCATGAGCCACCACAGCCCAGCAAAAATACTTTTAAGAAATATGCCAAACAACAGTGGCATATTTACTGTGTAAAGTTCACTGAGTCACAGGGTTCTTATACAAACCTAGACTTTATCAGCAATATTAAAAGATACTCATGGGTATCTGTACAAATCCTTAAGACAATAAATATGCAGAAGAATTTAAAGTAGGAAATGTTGCCAGGAAAGGTTTCTAGGAAGAGGATGCCTCAACATAAGAGCTGGCCAGAACCTGGATGGACACAGGGGAGCAGCCACTACACAGAATACCAATGTAGCAAAGGAGGAAGACCTGACCAATCTAGCCAACTGAAGCAGGGCAACCTAGTAGGGAGCTGAATGAGAGGATAGGAAGTGGGGTCAGTTCATAGAGGGCCTAGACGTTCAAACAAGACAGAAAAGGCAATTCTGGGCCACTGCAGATGGCACTCTGAACTGAAAAATAGCAATGGTACTTCCAGAGTAACTTGGCAATGGTCAGTAGGTTCAGGCCAAAAGAAACAGAGAAAACAGATTATGCTAACCACAGAGAAGAGTAGTAGGAGATCAGATCATTTCAATTAGATTTTTGAAATACAGCTTGCTTTGTTTCTGTGTCATGAAGTAATCTATAGCCAACCATTTTTTGTTTTCATTATAACAACTACACAAATGTGAAAAAGTGCTATGGTAGTTTGAATGTTTGGTCCAAAGATAATAGAAGTCTTTGGGAAGGATTAGGAGGTGTGGTCTTGGAGGAGGTCTGTCACTAGGAGGGACCTCTAAGGTTTCAAAAAGCCCACACCATTCTCAATTAGCTCTCTCTGTCTTCCTCTCTGCAGACCAAATATAAGCTCGCTCCTGCCCCCCTCTTCCTCACCCTCCCCACCCGTCCGCCCTGCCTGCCACAATGCTCCCGAAACCATGATGGTCATGAACTCTTACTATCCTATGCAACTGTGAGTCACAAATTAAATGTTTTCTTCTATAAGTTGCCTTGGTTGTGGTACTTTATCAAAACAGTAGAAAAGTTACTAAGGCAAGTGCTAAAAAGTATTCTGACCATTAAGCCCAACTTTATTTAATTTGCAATACTAGTTAACTTAGCAACAGTGATACACGTAGACATCCATGGAATCATTTGTGAATTCCTTTGTAAATTGTATACTATCAAATTTCAAAACTGTCCTAAATCCCAACATGTCCTATTTACTAGTCAGGTGCTGCTTTCCGATGAGATGTTTATTTCCAAAGCAAAAAGTCCTCAAAACCTTTCATATCTGAAAGACCTTCATGGTATCCTAACACAACCTGCATCTGAGTCTCCTTTCTAAGTTTAAAGTTCTCACACAGGCCATATTCAACACTGTTGGTACCAGGGACATCCCTTTCCACGTACCTATTCCCAACTGTGCCAAAAGAAACTAGAAGGTTCTGTTTTATCTTTGTTTTGTTTTGGTTTTTTGTTTTGTTTGCTTTTGAGACAGTTTCTCTGTGTAACCATAAGTGTTCTGGAACTTAATCTGTAGATCACGCTGGCCTAAAATTCAAAGATCTACCTGCCTCTGCCTCCCTTGTGCTGGAATTAAAGGTGTACACCACACCGGGCTGAAACTAGAAGGTTCTTATCATCAACAATGAACCTTTTTGCATTGGAAATTCCATCTTCTGACCTTATCTCCAATAAATATATGTAAGGCACTTAGGACAATGCCTGACATACAGGGTTCAATGCTAACAATGTAAACTATTATCAATAGTTTTGTCCCAAGGTTATAATGATTAAGTCATGGCAACCCCTCCAGATATTATAGACTACTTCACTTTCCCAGCCTACATTACCACTACCACCACCCTAATCCTTCCGTATCACTAGGTTCTGCATTATCAGCTTTTTAGTAAGTTTTCAAGCCATCTAATCAAGTAGGAAACACTTCCAGAATACATCACTGCCCATCCTAAACCACACTGCTCTCCATTGGCTTAAATATAGGGATACAAACCAGTAACACACTCAAATTGAGAGCTTTTTTGCATATATGTGAACATTAAAGTTTTATTTATTCATAAAATGTCAATATTCATTATCAGTAAGTAGGGGGAAATAGTAGTTAAAGTTGTCAATTTATAGAAATCTAAGTCTTAAAATCAGTAACTCAGAAATGCTAGAAGGCTTTGAACTATGGCATTTTATTCCACTGACTATAACTACATACTGAGAAAATTTCACAGTATTTTATTTGCTATACAGTATTTTATTAATTATAGTATTCTGATATATAATTTCACAATACACTCTGAAAATTAAAGATTTATAAATACCTTCTGATAAAAAAACTACACAAAACATTTGGTTTTATTCTCTGCGTCTCAATTTGTTTCTAACTCACTGTTAATAACAACCACAGATACCATTATTCCTCTCAACACCTAACTCCCTTATCAAGTCAGAGAAACTCACAAGCTTAGCTCATCCTCCCATGCCCCATAGTTCACACAGTGCCTTAGCCATCATTCTCCAAATGAACGGCTAGAAAAATCACAACTAACATCCAGCTTGTAGCAAAGTGTTTAACTCTGAGTGTCTGTCGAGGTCAGGACAGTAGACCGGACCCATGAAGTATGGAAGGAAAAACCCTTAAGAGAAAGAAATTGTAGGACAAATGATTTCAAAGAAGAGATGGGGAATGGAGATGAAGGGTTTATGTGCAAATAGAGAACAGGAATGACAAAGAGGTGGGGGGCAGATTAACCAAAACTACTGTTATTTTAAAGCCCCAAGGAAAGACAGGCATAGTGGCACATGCCTTTAATCCCAGTACTCCCAGAGGCAGGTGCATCTCTGCGAGTTTAAGACCAACACAGTCTACAAAGAGAGTTTCAGGACAGCCAGGCTGTTACATAAAGAATCCCTGTCTTGAAAAACAAACAAACAAAAGCCTTAAGGAAGCCCTACTTTGTTAAACAATTTTTTAAGTTTATTTTAAAAGAAGCTATTATGCATGGTGGACAAGTCCAGTTCCAGACTTGTTATTAAATGAAATTCTCAGTACCAGGGATGGGGTATCTATAAGCTATTGGTTCAGGAAGGCTTCAGAGGGCCCCAAAAGAACACAGGCTATTACCACTGCTCTTCACTGCACACCAGAACTAGATGGCAAGACCCTACTGTGGAAGGCACCACAAATTTTGATTGGAACACAGAGAGAAATTAAGCTGGAACTGACTAGGAAACTTCCTCCCTGCTGGCTAACTTTCATAATGCAAGAAGGTGTTATGTAGGCTGCTGAGGGAGGAAATACAATGGCCTTATCTAGCCCTGAACCCTGCATGCTATGATACTGACCTGCCAGTCCAATAGAGGCTTAACTGTTTAGGGGATAATCAATTGCTTTCTGACACGAGACCAGCTCCATCTCTTATGACCAAAAGCTCATGGCTAGGGAGGTTACAAGTCCTATGGATGAACCTAACAGTTGCTGGTTTTGCTAAATCAACAAATCAAACTGTCTTATAAATTCTTAATGGTTTTGTTTTTGGGGTTTTGTTGTTGTTTTGAGACAAGGGTTTCTCTGTGTAGCCCTAGCAGCCCTGGAACCCACTTGGCAGACCAGGCTGGCCTCTAACTCAGACACCCTCCTGCCTCTAGTGTCCCAAGTGCCAGGGATAAATACTTGTTTATACCCATATATCTGAGCTGTCAACCTGGCACCCATAAGCTTCTTTAGGCAGTAGACAGAGATCAATACAGAAACCTAACTTGTAAAAGTTTGAGTATGTGACTATGAGGGACTCGCCCTAAATGAGACACCTAAACCAACCTCGCCAGCACCCTTCAGAACGTGGTCTGAAGGACGGAGAGAAGTGCTGCTGTCTTCCATACACAGCACAGATCTGTGCACTCAAACTCATGGAAGCTCATCACAGACAGGGGAAGAGCTCACAAGACCCTCCCCACACTCTAGCTAAGGAGCTTCTCGGTGGGTTATGAGGTTGACAAAGCAATGTATTGGGGTGAGGCTAAGAGGAATAGATGAGCAAATTACAATGTATACATTTGTGAAATTCTCAATGAAAAAAATACTTAAAAAGGTATAGACTGTAGAATATCCACTAGAACATTTCCAATGGTCATAATGTAAATGCAAGTCAAGACACCATCATATTTAAATTTAAAAATTACCGCTTCAAACTTCTCTCTGTTCTCTCGAAGGTAGTGAATGCAAGCCATTCTAACTTCCACATGGCGAGACTGAGAGTGTAATACCTAAAACAAAAAAAGAAACACATTATTAAGCATTTTATTGTTAAAAAAACAAACTCAAGTTACAAGTTAATGACCTTTATCACACTCAAAATGATGTGTGAACTCCTCCTCTGAGCACAATGACAGGACACAGTATGATGGTCTAAATGAGAATGGCCCCCTCAGGCTCATTTATTTGAAGGCTTGATCACCAGGGAGTAGAACTGTTTGAAAGGATTAGAAGGTGCGGCCTTGTTGGAGAAAGTGTGTCAATGAAGATGGGTTTGGAACTCTCAAAAGCCTATGCCAGGCCCAGCACTGCATGCTCCCCCCATGGAGATGTAGTTTCAGCTACTGGCTACTGCTCCAGAGCCTTCCTGCACAGCACCATGCTCCCCAACCATAATGATAATGTACTAGCCTCTGAAACTGTAAGCAAGCCCCCAATTAAATGCTTTCTTTCCTAAGATTTGCCTTTGCCATGATGTCTCTTCATAGCAATAGAGCAGTGACTAAAACATAAAAATAATACTCCCCTAATGTCACGGGGAGAGGGAAGGGGTACGCATTTCAAGACAGGGTTTCTTTGTGTAGCCCTGGCTGTCCTAGAACTCACTGAACCCAGAGATGATCCACTGCCTCTGCCTCCTGAGTGTTGGGATTAAAGGTGTGCACCACCACAGCCAGTCTCTAATGTCATTCTATAGAGAATTTGTCACCATTTCTACGGAGGTCATAAAAAAAAAAAAAATCACTCCTTTGAGGTCATTGTACTAAGAGGTTTTCCTCTACTGCCAACCTTCTACAGAACTTTGTTCCTCACAATGCAGGAAAGAATCCCTGCTAGGGAATGCTAGGGCTCACCCTATGCTCGTTATAAAAAAGAACCAGAGCCAAACCTAGAGGTACAAATTTAGAATTCAGTTACTAGGAAGTTACCTGCAGTGGATGTTTCCATGTTCAGGCCCTGCCTGGTCTACTACATTGCCAGTGTAGGCAACTGAGGAAGAACTGGTCTCAAAATAAAGAACTAAAATGCAGGCTGCAGAGATGGCTCAGTGGTTAAGAATATTGGCTACTCTTCCAGAGAATCCAAGATCTATTCCCAGTACCCACATGGCAGCTCACAAGTGTCTATAATTCCTGTTTCAGACATATATGCAAGCAAAGCACCAACACACCTAAAATACAAATAAATTATATTTTTAAAAAATTTAAAAACAAGACTTGATGTGGTGGCACACTCCTTTAGTGTCAGCACTCAGGAGGAGAGGCAGGCTGATCTCTGGGTTTAAGGTCAGCCTGGTCTACAGAAGAGTTCCAGGACAGCCAGGGCTATGGACAGAATCCCTATCTCAAAAAGCCAACAAGGGAAAAAAAGAAGAACAGGGTTGGGGAGAAAGAGAGAGAAGGAAAGAAGGAAGGAAGGACGGACAGACGGGCGGACGAACGACTGACAGGGATATCTATCACTCAATGGTATATAGCCCAGCACATACAAAGTCCTAGTTCAATCCCCAATACCACAAGGAAAGAAGTTCTCATCTGTAACAGTAAGTTACATAGTAGGGCTACTATGGTTTCAGAATTATTATGTGTAACTTTGTTTATCAAGCTTACAAAATTCAAAAATACCCAATGGGCAGCCATGCTAAACTGAATGATGTCATCCTAAGAGGTTGTAGATTTGTTCTCAAATCTAAATCTATCTAGGGCTAGCAAGATGGATCAGCTGTTAAAAAAGCTTTGCTGAATTTGGGCCCCAGGAACTGGTGAAAAGAGAAGCAACTCCCACAAATACTTGACGACTTTTATGCTCAAACATACAAAAAATTAACAAGTAAACACAAATAAAATCAAAGTACCAAACAGAATGTATGATCTTTCTCTGCTGCTTCCCTAAATAATCAGTTCAACAACAAAAGAAAAAACTTCACTGGAATTTTATCTTTTTATCAAAATTTGAGCTCTGAAATAAAACAAACTAAATTTCTTATATGCTAATCCCCAATACTTTTACCATGATTAAAGAGAATAAAGTAAAATTACTTTCTATTAATACATACCTCAAATGAAGGTACTCCCAGTACTCCAAAAGTTCACACATTCCATATCACCACCCATACGCACATGAAATAGCATCACCTCAAACTGTCAAGACCTCTTGCAGTTTTAAGGGTTACACACACCTCCAACTGAGTCACTCTAATGGTAAACGGGAAAATTCAAGAGAGGCCCCAGCTGTACATTTTTACACCTCTCTTGGATAACAGTCAGGGCTCATTTATACAGGGACCAGAGATGCAATGTCCCTGATAGCCAGTATGTTCTAACAAGCCAAGAGACTGAAGATGTGCTCCTTGAGGTTAGCGTTTTTAATTTACCACCTGGCTGTTAGCCTAATCTTACTGTTTTAGGACGTTATTAAAAAGTAGCCTTATACAGACAGGCTAAGCTTCCTTCATCTCAAGGATCATCCACATAGTTTTAAAAGCACCAACTGTTTGCCATTTCAACAAGTTACATTTGGCAATATCTTTCCTAGAAGCTACATGAGACACTGTTATGAATCAAGTATTATTAATATGAGTGAGCCACAATGTCATCTGATAGGGCTTTCCTGCCATCAGCAAAGCGCCTTCTGTGTTAAAGTCATTCACCTACAACAGGTGGCAGACAGAAGTTGCTCCAGCTTGTTTCTCATCAGTAACAATATCAGGAATATCTATTTTTTTTTCTCCTGTTAACAAAGGTTTCAGAACACGACATCAACGTGAACCTGCTGCTCAGATGCAAAACTCTCATCAACAACCATAAGTGTAGGATATTATTAGTTTACTAAGCCAAACAATACGAAAAAGCAAGACTAAAATGACAACTTTAAATAGTCAATTACTTCTCAAGGCCCTAAACACTCAAAATTCCAGTGGTCTGCTATGTTGCTTCATGAAAATAGGCTAAAGGTGGAGGCTTTGAGACAAGGTAGTGATAACACTGGGAAAGGCTGAGACACTGTTTTAGCAAGTCCTCTAAGAGTGCCCTATTTTTAGCTCCATGGCTAGGACTGATTCAGGTCAGGCTTCCTGCAGGCCCAAATCCACAAGTGTAAAAAAAAAAAAAAAAAAGGAAAGAGCCTAAATCAGGTAATCTGAAGAGTAACCACAACTCCCAAGAACTATCATCCCCTTCTTTTAAGACTCTTTTAGCTTATTGACTCTTTAAAAAAAAATTTAATTTTTACCAGAAAACAAATTCCCCCAAAACAAATCCTTTCTACATTAAAAAGGTAGCAAAGGTTGACAATGTACTTTTTCTCACCATTATTTCAGCCACATCTACCAAATTGCGCCTCCCCATAGATAAGGCTCAATATACTCAAAATAAGTCCCCAAATTTGTAAAGGGTAGTTCCTTGTGTCTCGCCTAATCCCATGACAAAAAACGGGGCTTACCTATATCAATGAGTCCATAGCAACTAGTTCTTGCTAGCTATGCAGAAATGAGTCTCTCCCAAGCTTCTACTCTATCTCCAAGGACCTATGCCATACATCATGGACGGAAACACACCCTCCCGCTTCAACTTAACTAGGACCTGGATAATTCAACTTCAAACTTCAAGCATTAGCCTCTACCTCCTTCCTACAGGAACGTGCTAAAGCCAACACTATAAAAACAGACTTCATTGGGCCTCTTCTGTTTCCAGAAGTGTTAAGGAGTCCAAAAAGAATGAGACACAGAAGCAGAATCTTCTCCATCTGGAAAATTCACAAATGTAGCCGACTGTTTACCTACTAAGAGTAAGGACTGCGGTGGATGTTTATGCACCCACCCACATCGGAGCTTCCTATGTTCTGAAAATAAGAGATGTCTTAACGAACTGAAAATGGCAGGTTGGTTTGGGAATACAGAGAATGTTTCAATGAATATACCTGTAACACAATGCAAGGGTCTCTGGTTTTGTGTTCCTGAGACAGGGTTTCTCAGTGTAGCCCTGGCTGTACCGGAACTTACTCTGTAGACCAGGCTGGCCTCGCACAGATTTGTCTGCCTCTTGCAGGGATTGAAGGCTTGTACCACTATGACCAGTATGCAAGGTTTTAAAATGTTCTATACTTACCAATCGTTGGAAAATATATGGCCTGGTGATTTTAAAATAGAAACCTTAAAAGCTAGTTAACACACACCAAAAAAAAAAAAAAAAAAAAAAAAAAAAAAAAAAAAAGAAAAAAACGAAACTAAATCCTAAAAACCCCAGTGTAAGGCAAAGGAAGCAAGTGTGGAATGTAGGACACAGCAGCGTGCGCTGGGAAACGCTTCTGATCCAGCAGCTAGTCTCACAGACAGGATGGGTTCTGGTGACCCCACACCTACAATATGGTTATATAACATGGAGAAAAGAACTCTCTCAAAGCAACAGAAAAAAATCCTGAGTATTCTCCCCTGGAACTCCTCCCACCCGCAGGAGTTCTATCTGACTTCTCTTTAATAAATGGGCCTTTTGGGGAATAATTTTAACCATTAACGAAGGGGAGAGGGGAAGAGTGATGTGCCTGGACAGAGAGTCTCCAGTTAATACCGTAGTATTAGCAAAAGACTTGCACAAGAGTGAATTCTTTACTACACTGTCCCTGATTCCCACATAATGCAGCGTGGGCCCTACTCAAACAGTCCCTGAGACGACCCTATACAGAGGTTGCCTTCCTTAAACTTCAAAGTTGGCCTCCTGCTTTGCGTGACACCGGGGAGACACATTCCAAAGTCCAAAAGCAGAAAAAATGTGGTCCACCGGCAACACGGGGTGCAGCAGCTCCTCTAGTAAACATGTGCTTAGCCGCTGCGAGCGAGGGGCTGCTAAAAGCTGGGCGCAGGTGAACTCGGAAGGAGCGCGTCGCCGGCCCCCGGCAGCACGCTGCGAGCAGGCCGCCCGAGACGTCCTCAACGTCCCGTGCCGACGCTGCAATGGGCCGCTGTGACGACAACGAGCCACGAGCGGCCCCGCCGTGGGCGGCCAGGCAGCTGCGGGTGGCGTGTCGCACCCAGCCCCGAGCCCGTCCCGCTCGGGCCCCGTCTCTTTACCTGCTCGGCCACAGCCCGGAACAAGCACGACCCGTCCTTGGCGACCAATTTCCGATACAAGCCCAGTTTGCGCAAATAGGCGTCCATGGGCGTCGCATCCTCGAGCGGCCCCACGCCGCCCTGGTCCGCGCCGTCGGGCGCGCCGACGGCTGCCTCCATGTTGCCGGTCCGCTGCAGGGTGCGCGGAGCGGACTAGCCCCACATGGCCGCGCCGCTGGCGGCTCGACGCCCCGGCCTGGAGCGGGCTGAGGCTCGGGCTCTGGCGCCGGCGTGGACGAAGCGAGCGGCGGCAGGAAGCGGCGGCCCGAGGCGGCGGCCCGCGCTCTCCGGGCGCATAGGGAGCCCAGCCTAGTACATGGCCATCCGCACGCGGCCGCCTCGGCGGAGGGACACGCGCCCGCGGGCCGCCCGGGGGTCGCCGCCCCCACAAGTTTCCGGGTCCCGACCGGTGTGTGGCGAGGCAGAGCCCCGCCGGCGCGCGCCACCGGGCCGGAAGAGGTCCAGCAAGGCCTGCGTCTCCCGCCGGCGCGCGTCCCACGCCGAGAGCCGAGGAAAGCCGGAGAGAAAGCCGCGGCCTCTCGCTTCCCCACCTCGCGGGAGGGCGCCTGAGGGGCGGGGAGCGGGAAGGGGCGCCTGGCGGAGGGCAGCAACCTCGCAACCTAGAATTTGTTTTCGCTTTCAGCCCGCAGCGCGGAGGATGACGGGAGTGGTAGTTTGAGCAGCGGCAGGAAGTCGGCGTGCAGAGGGCGGGGACGCCTGGACCGGCCTACCCGGAGGGGAGGGGCCCCACAGGCTCACGGACTACAAGTCCCGACAACCGCGGTGGCGCCATCCCTAGAGCCGACTTCGCGCTTCCCAAGCCGCGTCCACGAGCAGGCCCGAGGGTGTCTGTGGCCGACGAGGGCGACCCGCGCTCGCCGCCCCGCCCTCCCTGCCGGTCTCCCGCCCTGAGCGCGGCCGGGCGGGCGGAAAGGGGCGCGTGCGTGGAGTTGCCAGGGACGCGGTGGCGGTGCCACCGGCCCTTTGTGTGTTCCAAACAGTGGCGCACCTGTCTGCCCGCCAACCCAGCCTTCCCTCCCCGCGTTTCCTCAGAGGTGGCCTAACGCCTTGGGCGGAAGAGCCGGCTGAGGGGCGGAGGCTCTTGGACCCCGGCCTGAGGCCGACATTCTGACCCGCAGTCGAGCGCCGACCGCAGAGTCCCTTTAGAAACTAGAACAGCTCACGCTCTGTGACCGGATTTGCCTTTGCCTAAGGCACGTCTGTTTTCCCGTCACCGCAGCTGCGCACGGCCACACAAAGGGCTGTCACTGTTGGTAGAAATTTATTTTTTTAAGTTCGGTGACTCGCTGCGTGGAATCCGAGCTGAGCAGGAGGCTTCAAACTCAAATTGCTAGCCTCCAAAGTTGCGTGACAGGAAACGAGCAGCCCCGTTGGGTTTTAGAATCTGGTACTTAACGTCCTTTGGGGACACCAATATTTTATTTTACTAGCATACAATAGCGTGTGGCAGCTATTAAAATTTCAAAACTTCGGTCTTGAGATCATGCTGGAGGAAGAAAAGTGGTCAATTACGTTGGATTTAAGGGTGTAGTCAGTCTTGGGAATGGGGCCAAGACAGGCCAGATGGTAAGAATCCAACAAGTTACTGAAAATGTAAGTTATTAATATTTAAGTGTTCCTATAATTGTGCTATTTTTAGAAAATATATTGTGACCTAAAATGAAAAAAAAATCCTTGTCCCAATTTAAATTTTCACTTGTAGAGGGAAAGGCACTGAGAACTTTTAAGGGTTTTGCTTTGTTTGTTTGACATTATTTTTGAGGCACACTCCATATAGCCCAGGCTGGCTTTGAATTAGCCATACGAAGATGGTCAGGAATTCCTGAGCGTCTCGCTTCCACCCACTCTCCCCAAATACTAGCATTACTGGTATGCTATGCAGCCACATCCTGATTTATATGGTACTGGGAATAAAGCTCAGCTTGATGCATGCTGAACAAGCATTCTACCAACAGCTTCCACTTTAGGTGGGAAAATGTAGCTTGCATTAAAGACCCACAGTATTTTTTTGAGTAACATCTACACTATAATGCTTAAATCCAGTTTCTAAAATGAGATGCTACAGCATCAGCTCATTACCGGGAAGGACATGCCTTTTGACTTTCATTTTGATAGTCCTTCAGTAGCTTCTGGGACTAACTTCTTATTCCATACGTATTGTAGGAAATATATATATACACATATATATGTTAAACTCATAGTTTGATATTTTTTCAAAATTTATCAGTCTTAGTGATTGAAATGTGCAAAACTGCAATGCATTTTTTAATCATTCAAATGAAAAGTTTTGCTCAATTTATATGCCCGGGGTTGGGGGGGGTCAGTGTTTCCATATATTTTCCACCTTAAGACATATTCATATTTTCATTACTTAAATGTGCTTCCATTTTTTAATGAAATAATACCAACTTCTAAAGCCCAAGGGTTACTTTGACATACTTAAGGGGAACTAAAATGTCTTTCATTCTAAAATATCTTTATTTCCATCACAGTAATTTAACTCATTAGTAATAGAATGATTAAGATATTAATGGACATAATTAATTTTAACTATTCTACTATAAAGCCTGGCAGTAAGGTCTGTTTTCTGTTTTTTTAAATTCATTATTAAATGCTTAAAAACAGAAGCCCTTATCAGAATGCATGAATCCCTTTTTGTCACACTGATATGCATGAGAAGTGGTAGAAGAACAGCAAATTTCTGGGTTTTCACATCGGATGTCGCCTGACAGTTTCTTAGCGTTCCTGTCGGATGAGTGTGCAATGGCCCCAAGCTGCTTCCAGTACCAAAGTTAGAGGAGATAACACCTGTCATGATGTCTGAGCCCTGGTCCTCACCAGGAAATCCCCTAGGTATTCTGAGCCCTAATCCAAGACAGATCCTCTGTATATCAACTCCCCAAATATAGTTCGGTGCCAAGGCAGCGTCAGAGGATCCTGTGTCTTCAAAATAGGCCAAAAACATGCAGACTCTCACTTCCGAAGAGCCTTCAGCTAGCACGAACCTCTAAAACTCTTCAAGAAACCAAACCAGTACTGATTGAAAATGTTCGTTTCTAAGAGCCACTTCTGAGCAGTAAAAGTAAAGATGCCTTCCAATTTTTTTTTTCAGATAAAATCTGAAAAGATCAAGGCTTCTGAGAACCTAATGAAATTACTAAAACTTTGTTGAAATATGAAGCGGCGGCGGGGCTGCGTCCCCAACACCCCGGCCGCTTGCTAGCTCATGCCCGAAATAACAACACACAAACTGTATTCATTTAAGAACTGCTTGGCCCATGAACTCTAGCCCTTACAGGCTAATTCTCGCACCTGGACTAGCCCATTTCTAATGATGTGTGTAAGCACCCCAAGGTGCGCTTACCGGGAAGATTCTAGCCTTCGTCCATCCTGGGAGAGTGTAGCATGGCAAGCATGGTGTCTCTGCTCCAGCAGAGCTGTCGAGTGTCTCTGGGAGCAGAGCAGAGTCTGACCTCACTTCCTCTTCCGCCCAGAATTCTATTCTGTTTTTTCCGCCCACCTATCTTTTAACCTATCAGGGCCAGCAGTTTCTTTATTGCTCAGCCAATGAAATCAACAGATTGATATGACACTCCCACATCAAAACTTAATCTTCTGTGAATGTGCCCCCCAACTTCTTTCCCCTATGTATAGTCAATACCTCAATTTGTTGGTTTTTTTTTATAAACTTTAGAGTTAATTATGATAGGTAGAATTAAGGATATTTATTTATTTTAGAGGGGAAGTCTTAATATTTACTGTTGACCTGGAGCTCGCTATGTAGATTAGGCTAGCCTCGAACTCAGAGAGACCTGCCTCTGCCTCCACCTTCTACCTTTCAAGTGCTCAGATTAAAGGCTTACTCCACCTCCACAGTCTGACGACCTTTTTCTACAATATTTCAACACAGGGCCTTGCAAGTCCTCGGCAATGGACTCTACCACCAGCTACACCCCCAGCCCCAGAATTTCTTAAAACAGTTTTTTTTTTAAAATGAGAGGTTTGTACATTATAGGCCAGTATGGGAGAGTTTTCCCAACATTGGGTTAGCTATTATGCTAAACAGCCTTTAAGATAACCCACAGGGATTCTAGGCCATATTTTCACACATTCTTATAATGGCGTTCACCTTATGTGAAGGTTAGTCTAAGTGCCTAAAAGAATAGTTCAAAAGGAATGTCTCCTCTGAGGTCAGGTGATCAGTGGATTTGCACTCTGCACCCTTGACTTGTTCTCCCTCCCCCACTCTCCCTCTTACCCTCCCTCCACTTGTGCAAGCTGTCCGTTCTATAGCTGGCCTATTGAGCTCCCTTTAGTACAGACCTGGTAACTCTCCACCAGAGACACAAACCAGGTTGAAAGCAAACCCTCAAGTCATGCTTTCAGGTGCCTGCAACCCTGAAGAAAAGCTTGCCTGCAGCGGCCTCTCAGGAGCAGCCCTGAAGCAGAGCAAGCTGGGCTCTGAAAGTCCGGACAACAGAAAGAGCACAGGATGTTCTCTATCAGACTTTTGTACTCAGCAGACAGATGCTACCACAGAAACCTAAAGTTATCATGTGGTGCCCAGCCTCAGCGGATACAGCTCCAACACAGCCCCTAAGACTCAGGGTCCATCCCAGAAGAGGGGAGGGAAAGACTGGGAGCCAGAGGACCAGGGCATACGCTGCAAGGTAGTGTCTTCTACAGGGCTGACAAAGTCTCAACAACATCTTCACCTAAACAAGACCAACACAATGGCCACTCAGCCCAGTTTTGATCTACGTTAGCGTAGCGAGATCGGTTTCATTATGCCATTTCCACAGGTGCCCATGCCCTGCTTCCCCTGACCTGTCAACACGTCATGCTCCCCACACCACCCTCTGTCCTGAACCACTTCTCTCTCCCACCCCTTCTGCTTCCCAGTCACAAGTATTTCCTTTTCCTCCCTTCTCATAATCCCTCTGGTAGGCCAGCAGTCACTCTTACCTGGTCCTGGGCTTCTCTTCAATAGGAGACCTTTATTTAAAAGTTAGGATCTCAATATGTAGCCTCAGATTCCTGGAGTCCTACAGACTCAGGCTAGCCTTGAAATCACACAGAAATCCAACTTCCTGTGCCTCCTGAGTGCTGGGATTGTACCTGGCACACAGTGGATGCTGTTGGGACACTTGTTTTTAATTAAGCTTAAGCCCATTGATAGTTATGAACCTAATTAAGTTGTCTATATCCTCTTGGTTTGAATTTGTTTTGTTTTACCTGGGTGTCCATAAAGCTGAGGCTGGCCTTGAACTCGTGATCTTACTACTACCATCTCTGGAGTTTCTTTGTTGGTTTTCCATTTGGATAATCTTTCTAAAGGTGGGAGCACTGTATTAAAGCCATTTCTAGTAGCTGGCATGGCATCACATACATGCAAACCTTGAACTTCAGAAAGAGAAGCAGGAGGTTCAGGAGGTTGGTTCATCCACACCTACTTGACAAGATCAAGACCATCCTAGGCTATGTGAGACCTTTTTGAAACAATGACAGTGTTGCTGTGTGGTGGTGACTTGTGTTTTAATTCCATCACTCAGGAGGCAGAGAGAGACGGGCAGATCTGTGAGTTCAAGGCCAGCCTGGTCTACAGATTGAGTTCCAGGACAGCCAGGGCTACACAGAGAAACCATGTCTCAAAAAACAAATACACCAAAAAAAATCCCAGTATCAACAAATAAAAAATATAGTCAGGAACTGATTCCTCTGTGTGTGTGTGTGTGTGTGTGTGTGTGTGTGTGTCTGTCTGTCTGTCTGTCTGTCTGTCTGTGCTAGAGTGCCTTTTCATAGGTCTTTAAAAATTGGCTTCAGAGGGGGTGAAGAGATACTGCTCTTCCTGAGGACCTGGGTTTGATTATCAGCATCTAGGTGGTAGCTCAGAACAATCTGTAACTTCAGTTTTGGAGGATCAGATGCCCTCTTCTGGCCTCTGCTGGCATGAGGCATGCAAAAGGCACATAGACACACATGAAGGTAAAATACCAATACACAGAAAACTGGTTTTATTGCCACATAACATTTCATTTATTCTGAAAATTTAAGCAACTGAATCCCACTGAGCATGGATACCTATAATCCAAGTATCAGGAGGAGTAAGGAAGATTGGGAGTTGAATGTCATGCTTAGTTAGCTATAACAAGCCTTGGCTACAAGAGATCCTGTTGAAAAACAAGACAAAACCAAAAAACAGAACCTATTAAAAGTGGGCATTGAACCTGGGCTCAGTGGCTAAAGGCTACACAGTCCTGACAACCTGACTGTCAGACAAAGCCAGATGAGGTTGCATACACTTGCAATCCTAGATTACAAGAGTTATAATCCCAGCACTTTTACAGGAGACTCACTCGGAGGCTAAGCCACACAGGTTAAAGTACACAGCAACTACAGAAACACCCCACTCACCCGCCCACCCACCCCACCTCTGCCACCTCAACAAGGTGAGGACCCACTTGCCAAAGTTGTCCTCTGGTCTCCAAATGCACCCTGTTCTGTTGTTTTTCTGTTGGTTTAATAACCGCATCTGAATCTACTGATGTTTTAAGTCCCATCTGTGCCTCAGGGCCTGACAGGATT